TCAGAAGAGCATACTTGAAATGTTGCTGATCGTAATTGGATGCCATTGTGTAGACAAATATTGGAATTATCCAATCGAAACTGACCAGACAGTTTCTTTTCGCGAATTAATGATGAAATCGGAAACGATCGAACAATCAGATAATCATTAGCGACTAGAAAAATAAACGATGACAAGTTTCTCGAAAATCCTTTCCTTTTTCGCAAGACAACGTACTTGCCGGATTGACTGGACGACCTTTGAATATTAATCGATAGTTCGTCATGATTAAAGCACCTTCTGCTGGTAATAATGAATGTTGTCCAATGAAAAATTCATCGCGTCCATCAGGCAAAAGATATGAGCGCAATGCAATCGATTCTTCATGTTCAAACAGTTCCGGAATTGTGACGAAACGCGGTAATAATGGTTTTGGCATTGGTGCCACTCGTCGAGTTTCGCGATAGACTTTTTCCAAAACTTCGATTTGAATTTGAACAGTTTCTTTGAAACGAGAGAAAAGAACGAAAATATATTTCATCGAAATCCATGCCAACGGAAAACACCTACGATAGAGTTTTGTGTGAAGACTATTTTTATGTGTGGTATTGACGCCGCTTTCATCACAAACTTTATCGACGAATTTACGAACAAAACTAAGAACCAGATCGGTGACTTGATCATCGTTGTTCAAATCAAAGCCGTGTCCGCTATCGTGTGAACCAGCTGTAGAGGTTTCATCTGGATCTCTGACACTAGAAGAAAAAGCACATTAATCTGAAGCAAATCCTCCTCGAAACAACAAACTTGAACGGATCATTTGAACTATGGTAAAAATCACTTGTCACGCTGTCGGCATCACCACCCGTACTATGCGGAACAGGAGTATAGATTGAATGGCGAATATTCGACGACGACGAGATATCTAGTGGAAGTTTCATATAAACCATCAATTGAATGTAGTGAATCGCAAGTGCGTAGAGTGTTTGTTCTTCAAGATCTTCGATACTTCGTTGTTCTTCCGGCGTTTTTTGTGAGTAAAGACGCATTTGTTCAGCAGCTATTTCCAGTGCTGTTTTATCGTGTATTGTCGTGCCATTCTGATGAACGGAATTCTCAAATGACGAATCAATAGCATTCGTTAATGTTGTCTTGAAAAACGAAGACGAAACAATTGAAGGATGAAAGAACAGTACTCTTAACTTACAGATCCATGTTGTGTAACCGTTTCAGCTGATGAAATGGACAATGTATCTGTCACAGCTGAATTTTCATTATTATTATTCGAATTATGATCTTCGTGTGATAAATATAGATTTCTTATTTGTAGCTGAACGTCCGAATAGAACGACATTTCCCAAAATTGCATATTAGCCCATACGGCATGACGTTGAATATCTGTATAGATGAACTGTGTCGCTTCTTCACTCAATTTCTACGAAAAAAATATCCATTTAGCGATGATATTCACTCCGAGATCTATACGTACACGATGAAATGTGGTCGCTAGAGTTAATATCATATAAGCAATACCATGCTCATCAATCGACGAACTTGCCTAAGAGGGAAATTTTTGCATGGAACAAATAGAGTAAGATGAAAGCTTACTTCAAGAGCGCAATTCAGCAGGTTAGCAATCATTTCGAATTGTTGATTGTTCAATCTTGGTTTATTCTGTTTTTTATACGATGCTAATTCGTTACACAAAGCAATACGTGCATCTTCATGACTTTTAATTGAATAGAAAACTGCACCACTTGTCTACAAGGAGAAAAACAACTGATTTACATGGGAATGTCAATGCAAGCTCACCTTTCTCGCTTCGGCTATTTTATCACTGAAAATGAAACTGACGCATTGTTTTAATACTTCTAATCGGCGCGCCGATTGAGATATATCAGTTCGGCCATTGAGTGCTTGGATGGGCGTACCCAATTTAACGACACACGGTTGACTAACTCGCGCAGAATATGGTCTATAAAGGAAATGTTAACCAATGGAAAAGTGGACTAGTGTTCATACCTGCTGTTTTGTTGCTTTTTAAGTCCTTCTTTGATCGCTGCATTGACTAATTCTTTGTTTAGATGCGGAAATTCGGGTAAATTATCTCGAATACAACTCGCTTGAGATGGCTGAGGAACTTTTTGTGTATATGTTTGTTGTGGCGAAGGATTTTCCTAGAAATAATATTATTTTAAGCCAAAATACAGACAACAAACGTAATTAACGCGGTTTTACATTCAGAAGAAGTTGATTGGCTAGTTCTTTGATGTGCTCGAAAACAGTCGAATAATTTTGTGTTGTAATTGGATCTTTCTCACGTTTTAATTGCTCGTAGATCACTGCATAGACATCATCAAAAATATCATATGATCGAAATGGTGGACCACGTTCTTCGATAAATTTATGAAATGACATCGAATCGAGTACACGTAACATAAATTCATCATTAACTAAACGATGATGGCCGAGAAAACTTGCCTTGAAACGAAAGATTTAGTTTAACAAAAGAAAGTGAAATGCGATTACTTTATGAAATGAAATCACTGGTTTAGGATTAATACGAATTATTAATAAACACGAACGATAACCAGCAAATAATTCTGCAAACAGACGAATGAATATCGAACGAATCTGTTTATCTCTATTTGTTTCATCTTTATATTTCGGATAATCAGCTACTAGTTGACTTCCACTATCAGTTTTCATATTCATTCGACCATTTAATGGAAACGCTAAATCAGCTGCATGAATATCAGGTTTCAGAATCTGAAATAATTCTTGTAAGTCAATAAAACAACAAAATATTGAGTGTTGATTTACCTGAAACAATGAGCTGAGCACGCGATTGTAGGGTGTTTCAGGCATCGGTGCAAGTTTAACATTCTCTGTTAAATGGACACTAGCACCATCCAAATCGATCCATAAGCCATCGAACTAAACAGAAGTTTTCAGATCGAATTTGCTGAGCAAAACTATTTACATTAATTAATGCTTGAAGTTTTTGATCTGAGTGAACACCGATTATGAAAGGAGTTGGTGCATCGAGTACTTCGATTAGATCAAATGGAAGCACTGGGATGAAAGTATAACTAGCGAAAGACAACCGATGATGAGAGTTGAAGAACGAAAAAAATTTTCATACCAGTATTTTAGTGGAAAGAGAAGAGATTCCACGGCTTTACAAGCTTCAGTTAATTTCCAATAACTTTTCGAAAAGAATAAAATTTTAATATCTGACAATGCAGCACAAAATATTGTGACAACATGATCAATTCCTAAAATCAATTGTTTGTCTCTTGAGAAGTCAAAAAACTATGTTCGAAACTGACCTAGTTCTTTAAAAAGGTTATATACAGATAGACCAGTACAAGGTACGGTAGGACTAGCTGGCGGTTGTATCACTTGTCGGTCATCAGCACCGATTGAGAAGCGAAGTGCGTGTCCACCTAGAATGGTTTTCAAAGCATTGGAATTCTGTTCTGTTTTCATTTGATCTGTTCGACATACCTGGTGGTGGAACATTGACACTTCCAAGAATATTACCAACAAGCGTTTCGATTCGAATATCTGACGAAGGCTCGACATATGCGGTATAGATGATTCCCAAACAGTTCTAAATAGAACGAAACAAGTTGCTTTTCTGAAGGCAAAAAGAATCAAACTTACGCGAAATGCTTCGAAACAATCCAGTTTTGACGTAAGTAACAAACATTTTGGTGCGTACATTTGTGTTTTCGGTAGAAGAAAAGCTGTATCATCCGCCTCATCACTACAGATGTTATTCTTATTCAACAAAGTATTGATTGTTGTAGTTGGTGTTGTTGGTAGAAGAGTTTGATGAAATGTTAAACATGCGCAATAATGTCTCAAACCATCAAGATCAGTTAGAATCGATATGAAAAACGTGGGCAATTCATGTTTGGGTGTTAGAACCCAACCTTGTGGTTGACAAAAGTGTATGATGCGTGGATTAAATGGGCAATCCGGCCAATCTTTATCAGGAAAACGTTGAATAATTTTACCACATGAACGGCCACCTCGTTCTTCGTCGTGATCATAACCGACCACAAGGAAATAATCAGCTAGACGTTGCATGTTAATAATTGGCAAGATAACATCTAAAAAGAGACTTTATTCAAAACTAGTTTCAAATCAATCAATCGATCGATCAAACAGATGTTCTATTTGTTTCACTACTACGACGACTGCGTCACCTGTGACCCTTTCTTTGCTTTCGCTTTCTATTCATTCGCGAGAAACGGACTAATCGTAAGTGAGTAGACGTTAGAGACAAATAAACATCGACAATGAAACATTCTTCTTCTTCTTCTTCTCTCCTTCCTTCTTTCTGCCATTGGCATCGATCGGTCAAATACTATATAAACATTCTTATTATTACATTATACGCTATGCCGTTCTGCAAAGAAATGATGTTTTTCACAGAAATCCAAAACGACATAATAATGTAATGACAAGAGAATATGATTTAGCCAATTGTTCATCATGACTATATAATTGTTGTCTGCAAATAATAAATTATCCGATCAGAACTGATGTCGGGGGGAAGCGAGATATGCTGGACAAGAGAAAAATGACAAATTTTACTCTAGAACACGTTATAGTATGATTTAAAGTTATAAAAGCAAAACAAATATCGTTTGCGCCCTCAATAATAGATAAATTGGTGAATATAGAAATAATCTTTTCCTTTTCGGAGACCATTATTGATAATTCATATTTATTCCTTAAATCAAACCGAGAAGAGAAGAACGTTCTAATCGCATTCTCTCCCTTTCCTGCCAAATGCTATGACTGAAAATTTTCTCGATTGGAACTAGAACTAGAACTGGAACTATTTCTTATCTTTTCCTTTCTATCGATTCGAGAGGAACGAACAAATCATAAACGAGTGAATAATAGAGACAAGTAAACATCGACTATGAACATATTCTTCGACTGACGTCACGCAGGCGCGTTTTATAGTGTTTGTCGACAGTTTAGTTATTAGATTAACTGTCATGCCGTTCAATAAACGGACAATTGAACCTATTAAATTGAGCGAAGTGCAAGTTCCAAAGGACATTCCTAATGAACTTGAATGTGTAGCTAATCACACTCTCGCGAATATCATTCGACAATTGAGTTCATTAAGCGCACATGCGCACGATCTCTTTGATGAATTAATTGGTGATGCTGGACATATTTTCCAACGTACCGAGGCATTGCATGGCCGAATTGAAAGACTGAAACTTCAAGTAACACAGTTGGACTCTAATGTTGAAGAAGGTAAGTTTTGTTTTGAATATCTCATCCAAACTACAACTTCACATTGGCGTCTTATCTAGTCACTATTCAAGATGTACATAATCGGAAGCCATTTGTTAGTGTCACCCGTATCGATCAACAAGTGGTTAATCGCGCGACAATGCCTCATTCACTTCGATCGCTTTATGACCAAGCTGAACCAGCACCTGCTCTACATTTGCTTAATCCCTATCGGTTAGTATTCGTTTTGTTTTAACAAAAGCAGACAATTGCGGGTTTTCTTTGTTCAGCGACGATGGTCGAGATTCAATGAAATTTTATACGGATCCATCATTCTTCTTTAATCTATGGATGCAGTCTATGATTCAATTTCCACAACATCATCATCATGCACATCGATCCGGTAAACATGAACGATTTCGATCACCGGTATGAGAAAATTAAGCAATAATTTTTCGTTTGATGAAGAGTTAATCATGTTGTCGATTTTTAGAAAGGTTCAAAACTACAGCATCAAGAATCAATCTATGCTTCTAATCCTACGTCATCATCACAGGCTCGTCTCATTCAACAATCATCGGAAGAACAACAACAGTATCGTAGTCCACAAGAGTTGATGCGTCATCGTGGAGATTACGAGTCCGTTGCTCGTGCTAGTAATCGACCACCGCCACAACAACAACAACAACAGCAGCAGCAGCAGCAGCAGATCTATTCACCGCTAAATCATCGACCTCTTTTACAGTATCCTAATAATAATAATAATAATTTTCAACAAAATTCAGATCTCATACAGTATGGCAGTCCAACACTATCCTCCGCGTCGTCTTGTCGTGAACAACAATCGATGACCATGAATTTTAGCAGTGCTGGCACCCCATTATCACCACAAAACGGACATAATGTCGAACAATCGCCCAGACTCAATGTTCATTCTCCAATAGTTACCCGACAAGCTCCAGCACCGCCTCCACTTCCACCACTACTAACACATTTTGAACCAAACTATCCTATGGCACATTATCCACAGGTGAATCAGATGGTTGCTAGACCATCAACAAGTCCTCCTCCTCCTCCACCTTTACCGCCAAGTACAGGTCTTGCAACGCTTGCAACTATATCAGAACTCGACAATCTACCTCCGCCCCCAGCTGACTTCATTGAACGTTCACCATCTCCGCAGTCTCTCTCACTACCACCAGCACCACCGCCACTTCCTCCTCAACTTTCCTCTGTTCCATCAAATATTCCTCCGGCTCCGCCACTACCGCCAAGTTCTGCAATTCAATCACTAGTCATGCGACCTTTAACAAGCAACGCCGCATCAAGCAATAAAGCGAATACGAATAGTACTACACCAACAACATCTCATCGTGATGATGTTTCCGTTACTTCGGAAACTTCCATTCAGGATCAAAGACCCTACATCATGCGCGATCTCCATTCTGATTTATTGGAGGAAATTAAAAAAGGTAAAGCATGCAACTGTGTTTCGTTTGGATTATTGAACTATTTGTCTCTAGGTATTCAATTAAATAATCGTAAGAAAGAAGAAGAGAAGAAAGCAGCTGTAACAACAAAAACAAGTTCTCTCAATGTTATGGCAATTATGGAACAGGCTGCTAAATATCGTCGTGATAAAATTCGACCACAATCCGAATCAGAGAACGATGATGAATCATCACGTTGGGATGATAGCGACTAAACAACGTCGAATTCCTCTTTTTTTTTAAATTTCAATCATATTGCTTCTATTTTTCTCATTTTGTATAGACAGTGTGTAACTCTTTTCTTTTTCTATTTATATTCACGGCATACGTTCTTTCTAAAATTAACTAATAATTGTATTGCTAATGTAACACAAGATCGAAATGATCAACAAACTGGAATTTGATACGAATCGTGAGAAGAAAAGTGTAAATAGATGAAAATTTTGAGTTTTATACTTTTCTTATCATACACAACAAAGAAACAATAACAGATTGAGATCAGCGTGAGAAAATAGTTTACACAGACATGACAACAAAATAATAGTTGGAAACATCAATCTTCATTCACGAACATGACGGTTGCAAGAGACTCAACTTGGTGAAATGACGTAGAGCAAGTAGAACGAAAAATGAGACAGAAAATAGCAGAATTCCAATAATGAGTGTCACGACTTCATGTGTTCCCGTTGGAATTATAAAGAGTCTTAGACTAGTTGTCGTCCAACGACTTTCCGTCCATGCTGGATAAGTTGTTTGAGAGAGATCATAACCATCGATAATGAATGCGGGCGACATAGATTGTACAGATCGTAGATATGATCGAACGCAATAACCAGGAAAAGATGAATTTCCACTTAGTGAAGGTAAATATCCATCAACGAATCGATACGAACGAAAGCTATCATTACTGGCACGTTCTTTACATGAGAGTCGCGTAAAATTCAGGAAATCGTACGAGCGATCACGCAGGAAATAACTGAGAACATGCTGTATGAAAGGAAAGGTCGGTGTTTTTGCCGCAGGGTAGCTATTGATTGTAAATGGCATGGGTGTTTCATTGAATGGGACGAATGTATTTCCAACAGATTGATTGGAAACATTATGGATAAGTGGACAGTTGATATTTTTCAAAATACAGTAAACCAGATTATTAATAATCTCTTGTTTGATGTTAACATTAACTCTGGTACCAACAAAGGATTCAACCAAAGTTTGAGACAATGGTTCAACTACACGTTTTATCCATAGACTAAGTTTAGTGGTAGAATTGTATTCTAATGCTGCTAGATCGATTGATAGCGTTGATGGATCATCGAAAAGTGAATGGTAGTACGGATTGTTCAGTTGAGTTGCATCGGCTGATGATAAGATGTAAGCAGGAAATAATGAAGAGGATGTTTCTCGAAGAAAGATCTGAGAAGATGCCGGTGGTAAAGGAGAATCAGGTGAGATGAGTTTGATCATTGGCTGATTACTAACAAGAGTATTGGTAAATGATTGATTGACTAACGATGACGGATACGAATGAAGCTAAAATCGAATTGAATATACATTTAGATGAAAGTTGTTCTTTAGTTAAACTTACCCAAAGTTGATCAGTCATACTCAAAGCTTGAAGTTCGATAATTGAATGGATATGTTCCGGTTTAATGCGTTGTTCGTTTTTGTTACCCATGGGAAACGAACCTCTGTTCATGTCGTAGATAAATTTGATAGAACCGGAATAATCCAATGTGTCACCATCGATTGTCAGAAAAACAATTTCTTTGTTTTGTTTTCGAACTTCGTCTTGTACTTGTCCGATTAGATGTGCAAGCGCTAGAAGCGAAATGAGCGCTACCGCAGGCTGTTGAGCGCCACCAGTCGATCCCTGCATTTTCGTAAACATTTGAAAACTATCTGTCGCTGCTAGAATCAGAACAACTGATTTAAGTTGACGTTCTTGAGAAGCACTTGTAATCATTTGTGGTAATTTGCTGTAAATATTTAGGCCACCGATTGGATCGCAGAACATTTCTGGTAGATCTATTAGTGAGTGTGTGATATCGTTTCGTCTCATGCATGTTTTCGATGTATGTGCAGCATTTTGAAAGGTTTTTAATTCTAGACCACAAGCCGGTGATGAATGGCTGCTGTTGAATTGTCGATAGAATCGTACAAGTTGCTCATAATCATCTTTTTCGTCGATTAACATGATCGGAAATGGAAATGAACGAAAAAATAAACCCGTACCCTTCCGATTCCAATTGACTATTTGTGTTTGATTTAAATAATACGAATAACGATGATTCGGACATTGATCATCAGATGAAAAGTATTCGGGACGAGATGAGTTTGATTTGAGATATAATAAAAGACCATTGAGTTTTGATTGAAGATGGTTCATTAACTGATCGACATGACTTGAATCGAATAATCTGACATTCATGACAATGATAAACGAAGTAATTGAATTGATCATTTTGTCGTCTTGAAGATAACTTTTGAATTCTTCATCATTTTCAATCATATACATTCGACCGGAATTGCCTCTTGTAGTCGATTGACAGCCAATTTCGTGTGTTGCATTCAAACGACGAACACAGTAGCGTGCGCGATCGAATGATACGTACATTTCATCACCAACACGCTTTGATTGCGAACCGGGAATGAATATAAGGGAGTAAAAGAGGCTTATTACGAAAATTAAAGAATACATTATGATCTAAAGAGAGAAGAAAAAAACTTGCTAGAATGAATAAGTCAACTGATAATTCTTTCTCTTCTCTTTAAAGAGAGCGTTCAACTGTTGACAGCAAATAGCTTGCTTTATCATCAAGCTCAACCGTTGGTTTCACTAGACAAACCAGTAGAATAATTATTCACGAAGATGAGGATCTGCCGAATATTTTGATTCTAGATTTCAAAATCTAGATCCTTTTACCGCAAAAAAACGAGCGTCAAAAGTCCATTCATCTTTTCTTATATAGATGTCCGCACTAATCGGCATTATTGCGAACTTTATGGAACGCATAGCAGAGAAGACTGCAGATTACATGTGAACTTCTCGAAACATCGTAATCTTCTTTCCAGTTACGTTTAACGTGAAATCAAACTTCGACAAAGGGATAGTTCTGTTTTTTATTTCATTAGAAAATGAGCAAAAACAGCGGAACACTGGTGACACTATAGTATCATATCGTGAGCATTGAGAACAAAGTCATGATCAAGATTGTAGTTGAGATTCTTTGACGATCGGAAACACCGAGATTAAAGAGTAAATTGTTATGAAATGCATTTCAATGGTTTTACGCAACATCGACTGTCCATTTACTTGGTTTTCGACCAAACTAGATTGCAAATGCGATAAGCATTACTGCAACGACGAGAATTAAAAGTTTCCTACTTGAATATCAACAATTTCGTCATGGAATCGGTTTGTGATTGGAGCGCCTAGATAAACAGATCGAGTAACGCAATCGAATTCGAAATAACATACCTTTGTTCATAGTGGCTAAATTGTACGATTTTCCTTCGTATACGATGCGTTCTACGGGACAGACGATGGCTGCTGTGCCCGCACCAAACATTTCCAAGAGCTGAATATAGATCAAAGAGAAGGTGAATATTGAACTTCAATCAATTCATACTCGGTTGTCTTGTTGTGCTTCCAAAAGTTCATCTATTGTTATATCACGTTCCGAAACAGTGAAATCCCTCTATAAAGTAGAAAACTTATTACAAGAAAATCATTTTATCAGCAGTTTACCCATGTCCGACCAAGATCGATAATACTCTGGCGAGTAACACCAGGTAGAATAAGACCATTTAAGGGTGGAGTCACCAATTCGACACCACCTTTTTTATCCTTGATGCACATGAACACATTCATCGTACCAACTTCTGTGATATATCGCTTTTCGCCGTACAACCACAGGACTTGTTGACAACCTTGTTCTTGAGCGAGTTTGTTAACATAAATTGTTGGGCCATAGTTTCTACATGGCGAGAGCAATGAATAAATTCGAAAGTAAAACCTCGATCAGTCTTACGATCCGGCTTTGAACGCACCCATACCACCGGGAAATGCTCGACAGTGGAATGTGTCTGCCAATAATGAAACGGGTTTGAAGCCAGTTGGAAAGTATGGGCCGACCGGGCCAGTGACGACGAACAATAATGACTCAGATGGAGCAGCGACGCCCAATGTTGGCTACAACAATTCATTTATGTAAACTTCTTCAAAAATCGAACAAAACATACTTCAGTGCCGATTAATGTTGGCCGAATGTAGAGTGTACTTGACTTCGATCTCGGCACCCATTCAGCGTCAACTTGTACCAGTTTTTTAATACATTCCAATAACTCATTACCATCGAAAGTCTACGCAGAGCTAGTGGTGTTAGTGAATAGGATTGTATATAGGCTCTTACGGGCAAAACACTTCGTTCGGCAGTGGAAAGCATTCGTTTCATATTCAGATCTGGTCGAAAAAGTCGAATTTTGCCATCATCGCCACGATAAGCTTTCATACCCTCAAAAAGCTGAATGAAACAGAAGATTCTTATTATGAAAAATGAATCGAATTCATTTTACTTCAGTTGCATAATGTAGAACTTTGGCACCGGGATGAATTTTCAGATCTGTCAACGGTTCAATTACAGGCTTTTCCCAACCGGCCTTATTTGTATGTTTAACCGTTAACATATGGTCAGAATAAGTTGCACCGAAAACTAACTTGTTTGGATCGGGTTTCGGATTTCCACGTTCAGTTTTCTTTACGATCGTATCAGCAGCTCGAAATGTCGATGCCGTTGCATAGCTACGTTGAGATACTACTAAACCAAATCTTTTCATAGCCAACATGATAGAAAATTTGTGAGCTGAAGCAAATCTGTAATACAACACAGGAAATTACCGAAAATTATATACAAATAGAATCATAAGCAGCGTTCGCCTCTAGGATGTAACAAAGCATAAGCGATTGATTCTGGAAGTTGTTTGAATCAAGGAAAATTAATAGGCAGCCTCGAAAAACAAATTCTTCGGCTACTTACGTTAATCATAACAAAAAGTATTTCAACAGATTTACTGATGTACAACACGGTGAATATGGTTTTTTAACGAAAGAAGATTTATCGCAAATGGCCATTTTCTCGAACACAATTATCGATGAAAATACGTTAAGAGCTCTTCTTTTTCGATGTATACATAGAGCCCGTAGCGCAGAACGTCTATCTATAAGTTTTCTTGAAAATCACGATCAGGTGACAGAACGAATTAAAGTAGAGCGGAACAGATGGCGCTAGCATTTTGCTACACGAGAAGGCAAAACTTGACAACAGTTTACGCAATGGTAGAATCGATAGTAACAGTAATCGTTCTCTCCATAATCATTCAGCAAAAGAAAGAGATGTTTCTTACCGTGTCTGATCAATCAAGTACTGCTCTTCATGTACTTTTACGCGTCAATATAATCTATACATTCTTTTGGTTCGTTCTCGAAATCCTTCTGTTCATTTTCAAATACTATCAGTTGACTTATGCTGCCAATGCCTTTGGCTTAGAAATGGCAATTATATTTATGTTATCTTTCAACGAATTTATTCGACAATTCTTTGGTATGAAGGGAAATTTAGTACTCGAAGCACCGTCGCTTATTCTATTTATTGTCTACGGACTCTTCTCCAGCGTTGGTTTTGTTTTCTTTCTCGTTTTGCAATCGTACGCACAACGCGTCGAAATCCTTCTCTCAGCAATTGGCTTAGCCTTGATTGTCATCGAAATCGTACTCTCGATCATCACAATTATCCGCAATAGTCGAGCGATGCCCGTTTTAACCAAAGAACAACAAGTCGAACGAATGAGACAAGCAACACTACGACTGGAAACATGGAAAAAAACCGACTAAAATCGCACTCATACTTCTCTTTGTATCTCATAGATCGATAAACGCCAAAACTTGTTCATCAAATAAACAATCTCATTGGAAGTAACTTGTAGCATAGATCTGATCTGATTTCTAGAAGTATATATGTGATGATATTGAACACACATGTACAAAAAAAAGAACAATTTCAATTATCTTAATATCGAGAAATGTACAGAGAAGAAACTTCGTTTTTTTTGTCGTTCACAAAAAAATTGAAACACTAAAATAAATCGGAAGGCAATCTAATCTGAATTTGAATCCGATTCGATATTAGGAATTGAGTCTTCATCGCGTTTTTTCGTGCGTTTACTACCGCTTCCACTATGAACCTCAGCTGCGTGTTTCTTTCGCCATTTCGTACGTCTAAAAAAAAAGAAACAAATGATCTAAAATTTCGATTTGTCTTGATCAACATACCGATTTTGAAACCAAACCTACAAAAACAAAGCACAATAGAAAGAAAGTTAATCGAGTCAAATTCGAGGAATCTCTTTCTTACTTTAACTTGTGCTTCACTCATAGACAATTGCGATGCCAGCCGTGACCGTTCAGTTCCGGCTAGATATTTCGAACTTTCGAACATTTTTTCCAACGCGAAAATTTGATGGCCAGTAAATGTCGGCCGACTACTTTTCCGTTTCATATCTTTGATTGATTCATTTCCATTAACCACTCCGGAATAATGTGTTACTTGCGAATTCTCAATCGGAACACCTAAATAGAGATTTGTTTATGAGAAAAAGCAATTAGAAGCAACGCTTTATTGATAACCTTTGGTAAAAAGAAGAAAATATAAACACACTTCAGACTGACTCGTCGGAGCACGAGAAAAAAAAGTCAAAATAAATTATTCAAGCGCATGTCGGTTCGTACATTGATGATGCCATTGTCTGTCATACACTTTCTAAACATCGATCTTATGTTCGAGTGGCTGCACTTTTGACTGCGTTTGATGACAATTTCACGGTATACCGCGAGAGAAATCACATGTCCATCGATCATCATCATCATAGATCTGATTATCAATTAAATAATGACAGTGCACAGGAGAAAGTTCTTGATCGTAGGTCATTCGTTTTTATTCATTTAGTGCCCATCTACCTTACCATTAAAATGATGTCATATACATTTCTCCCTCCTATCTTAATGGTGTACATGTCAATACGTAATGATCATTTACCTTCAATAATATTAATTTTTCTCTCGCAAACAATGTAGACATGCAATGAAGCGTGTTTGTAATATGTACATATTGGTGACTTTTTCTGCGAGATTTCATATGGTTCATTGAGAAAATGTATGAGAGGATAGAGATTGTGTTGAGAGCGGAAGCGGCGTATGACACACTCTCATATATCTCGACTCTTATTTTGCTCATTGTACTTTCTCAGATAATGTTTCGGCTCATTGATTTTACCTTCTGGACTCTTTCAATCAATTAATCTTATTTTTGTTTTTCCCTCTCTTCGATCACGAATATTATGTGTTATTTCTTCGTAAGAAAAAAAAAAGGTGTCATTTGCTGCTCATTAAATACGTGTTGATCTCATTAAAAACAGATAGTCGCATGCTTGTATTATATCTCAAAGGTGTTTAATAGGGATATGAAATGAAGGCTCGACGAATGTGTCAACAAATCAATTGAGCAACACGATATCGATATGTCTATTCGTCACACTTAACAAAAACAGCTACCTTTCGTCGAGTGCCAATCGAAGACATTCTTCCTTTCTTAATGATTACATGGCTCGATGAAACTAAATGTGACACTTGATGAAAAAACGGAAATATCTTGTCATAATTCTGCTGTATTGCATAAAAAACGAGCTTATGCAGATGTAATGTGCCGGCGACAAATATTATAAATCATCCTTCCAATCATTGAATAGTCATTAAGGCATCGCATATGAATAGATCGATGATTATGTATATGAGGTATTGAGCAACCTATTCCTCCTCCTCCTCCATCTTATTCTCTATACAATAGGATGCCATAAATGCGTCTGATGTAAGAAAACAGTAACGGTTACTTTTTGTTATTATTTACCTTTTGTCCATGCCGCAGTAGACGGAGACGAGATGGTGGCTTGTCCGATTGGTATTTGTGACCAATCATCTCGTGGATGAAAACTATTTGTTGATGGATGATGATGATGACTCTGTTGGATGTAATTGAATTGTGTTAAGTTTAATGTTGCCGGAGCATTTGAACGTGTCAAGAGAAAATCATTGGACAATGGGGGTGAACTTGCCGAACTTGAACTACATGGATTCGTATCGAAAAGGATTTTATTTGGCATTGTTGATTGAATGTAAGGATGTCTGTCTGGCGCATTCGTCGCACTTCCCGACGATGACGGAGCAAAGAAGGACGGAATAGGATTACCCGAAAACCAAAAGTTTGGTTGATGCTGATTCGATGCCGTTGCCGTTGATAACATCATCTCATCAATCGATGATGAATTTTCAATTGCACTTGATGATATTGTCCAGCAAGGTGGTAATAACATACTAAAAGCAAATGAAATATATTGCTTTCATTATATGCATATCATATTAATGACTTACTACTACAAATCAACTATGATATAAACTTAAATATATTATCTCGAGGTTTTTTTTTCAAGTAATGGATGTTATTTGTTTTTAATACGGATGGGATAAGAGAGAACGAGACAATATATGTCGAAGGAAAAATATCTATATGATTAGATTTCCGTTCGAACAATTAATCAAGTATTACTTGTCGTCGCGTTTCTTTGGGCTGTTTGAGTGTATATGTGTGAATCGCTTTTCGATAGATATTTTTATTTGTTCCTTTCTCTTTCTCGCCTTACTCGTCGTCGATTTTTTTTCTCTTCTCTACTTTGCATCAATCGCTTTTGCTTCGCACAGAACGGATCAATTCCTGATTGGCTCATTTCAACGACTATTCCCATTCGTTCCGAAAAAAAGAGTAGAGAAAATGTGTGCATCCCAATGAGACTATTCAGATTATGTAAATTTCGATTTGTGATTGAATATTCCGAACTATCGATTAAAACTTTCTCTTTTTCGAAAAAGTTTTTCCACTTTACGTACATTCGGGAATAATTAATCGATGCATATATGTCTTTCTCTGGCGTAGGATGCATAAAATAAATGTTCTCATCTACCAAACGAATCAAATTGCAATTAAGTCCGTCGCTCGTCGTTTTCTCTCATATATAAACAAGGCAAATGAGAAAGGAGAAGATATGTCAAACGGAGAGAGAGAGAGAGAAAACGTTGAAAGTAATGAATGCAAATGCAGCGTATGTATCATTAAATGTCTTTAATTGTTGATTGGAAGTTATAGCGTTAGTTTATTCAGGAAAAAAGCTTGGGGTACAGAGTGAGTTGTATCTAGCTAACTACTAAAAATGATCAGTGGAAGTTGTCCTTTCTGTTATTTCGACATGCTTTTCTTTAAACGCATGGAGAAAACATGTGCTTGATCAAAGTGCGGTTGAGTTTCTTTCTTCACGCGTTCCATCCATTCTTGAACACGAGGAAATTTTTTTGCGTCGAAATCATAACCAGCTGATATCGGTTGCATCATTTCACAGACACCTACAGAACATTTTAAACGATACTAGTCTTCCCATGTTCTATAGAAACTGACCAAGTAGATCAGAAATTGTGATGTGGCCTCCGGCGACATAGGGCGATCGTTTGAGCCAAACGTTTTCCAAATGACCAGTTGATTCTTCCCATTTATTTCGCCATTTCTCTAACTCATTCTCGTTCGGTGGTTTACCAGTCATACCCGGGATGATAATCTAGAGTGAGAATTGAATATTTCGAGTTCAAACCGATCTTCGTAATCGTTACTTTAGAAAGAAACAATGTTGAACCATTCAGACGTAGGTTGGCGTGTTGCCAATTATTGTACTCATCAACCCGTGCTCGGTCTTTCAGTTCTTTCGGATACCAATCATATTTTTTATGTTTCTCGCAAAGATAAGTAAGAATAGCCACGCTAAAGCAGATCAAATGGGAGATCCATTCTCCCCTCTCTGGTCAATTACCTTTCCGTAAGAACAAAACCCGAGTCGTCGATCACCGGAACTTTTCGAAACGGATTCAGTTGACCGTATTCATCTGTCATATGTTCAAGCTTCCTTAACGCAACCTCTTTAGGTTCGTACGGAATGCCAGTCATTTTCAGGAAAATGTACAAAGCCCGACACGGCTGTGACATTAAATCGTAGTAATAATTGAGTACCATCTGGAAAAAATCGTAACGATGACGAAAGATTTCGAAAAGAGGCATGATTTAATCAAATAATAATAATTATTAAATTTCTCTTATTTAAATGGGAAAAAGGCAAAAAATATACATAAATTGAATAAAAACAAACAGACATCTCTATCAGCACATCGGCGAAGAAAATTTGATCATACAATCTAATACTATAAAAAAAACGAGCAAAGAATTTTGATAATCAACTTTGTGTTTTTGTTCGATATGAAATTACACGAGTAGAAGAAGAAAAAAAAGGCACTAAAAGAAAGCAAAAAGGTGAATGAGATCAGTAAAGAAAATCCAAAAAACAATGAAGGAATTGATTTGTATTTTGATTATGATGTGGGACTAAGATTGGATAGAGCTGAAAGCGATGGTGCCCACACAACGCATGTTCGATCAGCACTCGACGTCACGAATGACATTTCATTTGGATGCCTAGAAAATAAGGCGATATGTTATACTCAAAATGAAGAAAACTTGTCAATTTTTACCATCGTGCTTGGATGATTTTATCAGTATGAGCAGCAACATTGGATAGAACTAATGGTTTAGTTAAATCACCTAAAGAACGATTTCAAATCGAAATAGAATCTTTTTGAATGCAGTAAACGAACCATTTAGACTGGTCATCACGACCTTTTTGTCGTACGAAGCTGTTAGTAAGTAATACGAATGTACAGAAAAACGAACACTTCGAATTTCGCTTGAATGCGGTTGATAAGCTTGAACTACACGTTTTCCACGAAGATCATAGAGCAAACACGTCGCATCTTCATATCCGGCGGCTAATAATTGACCAGAATTATCCACAGCGACAGCTGCAACTGCACTATCTATTAAATTCGAAAACAAAATCAGTAGTTCGAAGTTTTTCGTTGCTGATCGCGAATTACTTGAGGAACGGGGTGCAATGACATGAACACAATCTGGCTGACGAATATCCCATATACGTGATGTACCATCTTGACTAGCCGAAACAAAACTACATGCATCCCATGTATACAACGAATAGATATGACCTAAAATGAAAGTTGATCAGAATTCTGTATTGATAAACAGATACATTTCGAAAATCTGCAACTTTTGCATTCAGTGTTCGATGTTTATATCTCGCGAAGATAAATTCTGTGCCCTCGACTGCCTTTCGTTCGTATAAATAGCATAATTAAGACAAAAGCCATGTTTTTTCTATCTGTATCGATAACCTTTCCAAGTCATCAATCATTCTGCTCTAATCTATTAAGTAACATGATTGTCAACGGCTTTTATTGGCTCTTACCTTGATGACCATTAAAACTCTTGATCGGTGTTTGCTTTCTGACATCGGTTACATAAACTTTACAATCACCTGCACCACCACTCAATAAAATCGAATCATCCGTTAGATTGTCATGCATAAATATAAGATCACGAACAGTGCCATTATGATGTGTCAATTCGATTTCAGTATCTAAAGCAACACAAAGCTCAATCGTCTTCTCTCACATCATTTCTCTTACTATTCAAATCATCATCCGGTCGATCCATATTCAGCCGAACGATTTTAATCAATTTATCATTCGATCCTGTTGCAATCAATTTTCCGCTTGGTGACCAGCCCATGCAATAAATGCTTCCTAAATGATGTTTTCCTCTCTTGTAGAGAACTTTCGCAGGCTTTGGAATGGAATCGGATTGGATGTTTTTTAGGTCAGGATAGGCACAAACGCGGAGCATCTTCGAATTTGAACCGACAGCAAAATATTTGCCGGTCGGGTGAACGCTGACGGAACGTATGGCTTGCACATCTTCAATCGATACCAATGGAATAAATGCTGGTGAACGAGCGATATCCTGATAGAATAGAATTTTGTGTATAACACATGAAACGAGAGAAAATGAATAAAGTACCTCAAGCGAATCATATTTAGTAACTTCATTGATTTCTCGTATCATTGGACTATTAACTGAAAAAGAATAGAGGATCGTTTCTTGGATAGTTTAGAGATTTATTGAACTTACCAAGTTGCTTGTGTAGTTCGTTTCGTCGAATTTCTTGCTCATCAAATTGTTTCAGAATTTCCGCTCGACTTTTCTGATATTCCTGATTAAGAATAAAACAAAATACTAGTTCGTTTATACTCCGTAATGGAGATTTACTTTGAGTAAACGGTCAGCTTGAGCGTCTGAACCTATTGACCGATTACCGTTTTCGGGCGATATGATGCCTGTCACTCCGTTCAGTGATTTGACTGTTGGTGTCGTAACACTGCGTTTCGGCGACTGGGATCGATAAGAATTTGTCGGAGAAGCTTTATTTTCTATAGGTGAAAACGAACTGGGCGGTGGCGGCAAAGGTGGCGAAGGCGGAGGAGGTGTTTCTTCATAAAGAACTTCTTCAACAGTTGGTAGATTAACTGTTGTCGATGTCACATTATTATTGTTATTATTATTAACACCATTATCTTTTAGATTACATATTGCCAGTGATCGACTCATGTCATTGACAAAATTTCGATTATAATCACCGAAGATTTGTGAGCGGAGAAGACCGTAAGATAACCCATCGTATTGCGGTGCTAGTGAACGTGACATTAGTTCCGTGGAGCGTGGTTTACCAGTAGGCGTTGCATTGAACGGAAACATGGTTTGCGGTTTAAATGGTGTACTCAAAACATGCTCAGCCCATGTGGCTTCGAGAACTGGTCTTTGGAATTTATCAACATTTAAAGTTAAAGATTTTTGCTCGAACGGACACGAAAAGATTTCCGTTGGTAAAGCATGAAGCCATGAAAGAAGAGAAACATCCGTATCTGATAAACGTGTATTGAGTAGTAGAGAATTGGGATCACTAATATCGATGGTTTCGTCTGTATTTGTGGCACGTGCTTGACAATGTTCAACACATGATTCATAGAGAAGACCTTTGATAAGTAGTTGAATCAAACGATCACCTTGAGCTATTGGAATCGTCGGCTTGTCTACCTATGAACAAAGATCGAAATGCAGCTGTTATGTAAGTGTGAGCAAGTCTTACTTGCAAGAAGCGATGCACTAATGGGAAAACTTCTTCAAAACATTGCATTCGGCCCGCACTTGGATTCCAATTGGCATAGTCTGTGTGATCTTGTAAACGTTTCAATGTTAATAAAAAAGATAGCTTTTTATATTCTTGTTCATTTGGTGCAAATGGTCTTAAATCATTGAGAAATCTAAAATGTGAAAGCAACAATTTCGATTCTGCCTGCCGGACTCAAATCAGTGTGATTTACTTGACGATCTGTTCTACAGATAGATCATTTTCGATTTGTGCTTCAGTCTTTAAACATAATAACTCTAAAAATTGGTATTTCAAAACAATGTAAATAAATTGTTTCGCATCGAATGACTCGATCGTTTTCAATGGCTGTACAAAATCAATGACATCATCCCATTGTCCGTCCAAGATAAGTTGTCGTAAGAAAAGTACATCTTCCGAAAATGAACCATTAATAATACCTAGAAGAAAAAAGCCAGACATCGTTTAACAAAACAATGTGAATGAAAACAGATATGAATCGATATAATTGCTTTTTAAAACTCACCTGTTTCACGTTCGATATCAAGCATACTAATATACAGTTCACGTCGTTGAAGAAAATCAAGAATAAGCTTGACTGCATCGCGTTCGGATAATGCGACATTAACTCGTAAATTACTAGTACCATTCGTCGAAGACATTATCTAAATGCGAAGCAAAAATGTCAATAGAGATGCTTGTGTACTCGCAACACAGAATTGAAGAAGGCAACAAAAAAGAGAGATGAGAACAAGAGAGCGAGAGAGAAGAATAAAAGGTAGGCATACACACATACCATATAGACGATAGTTTGTTTGTCCAGTTAACACGAACAAGAGAAATGAGTATGAAGGCAAGATGACTACCGGTGGCGATGAGTTGTTCGATACATACGAATGAACAATGAACACAAGAATAAAATATATTGCCGATAGAGAATAAGTTATGAACGAAAATCTCATAGACACGGTGCAATTTCCTCTATTTGTTTTTTCAATCGACTAGATGTCGCTATTCTTTGGCCCGAGCAATTAGAAGATATAGATCGCGTAATTGTAACAGCGAATAGAATAAATATTTATTTGAACATAAATTTGCGGAAATAGAAATATTTACTGTTCTAGATATAAGACAAAAAGAAAGAAAAGTATGTAAAGTTCGTCAAAGGTAACGATTGCTTATTCAACTTTGCGGGTGGCTGCAAGGTGTTTCTGAAAATGAGAAATATTCAATTGAAATCTAGTTTACACGAGCAACTTGACACACTTACCTGCATCTGCATAATCAATATTCTTATCGAGAAGTTGGATTTTTTCAAGACTAGTCGGATCATGTGGATTTTTGCCTAGTTTGATTGTTTCCAAAACGCTTTCCTTCAAAACCGTCAGGTTTAAACTCTCCATTCCGTCATAAGGACGCGATGGTATTTGGAGTCTATTGTCTGTTACGCCACGAAACTCATGGAATTTCAAAGGTTGAGCGTTAACTTTCACGAGAAAACCTGAAACGAATATGATTGTAAGCGATTAAGAGCAAATACGCAAAAAATTACCGTTTTTTTCACTGTCAGTATTCAACGGCACCACTATTACATCCCTGCCACATCGACAAAGCTTTTTCGGAGATATCTCTTCTTCCAAAACAGCTAAGCGTTTCGTACCTTTACCTAAAAAAGAAATTTTGATTATATCTGTGCCTACACGACGCTATGTATATTTAACTTACTTTCTTCAATCCAAGGCGTATGAATAACCTCGGATATCTGTTCTAAGGTTTGTTCCTTCGTTAGGCAACAAATGCAAGCTAATAGTCTGCACACTTTGTTCGCCTGTTTTTCAGTTGGATTGTCTGTTGTAATATCGCATTGATAACGGTTAAAGATATACATTTCCAACCTATGATAGAGACGGAATTCTAATTTCGATCGTGTTTGTCAAATAGTGCATCTTACGTCTTTTCACACATGTTATATTCATCGTCTGTTACGCGATAGAGAATGCTTTGATTGTTGGGATTGTATCCGTACTTTGCGGTAATGACGAGATCGGAAAGCGATGGCCGTGATTGACCTTGTAGGCATTTTGACGGAATTGTCGTTTCCGGTGGTATCAGAACTTTTGTTGGATGTGGTTTGCCATCACAAGATGACAATTGAGCAACAATATACAAATTTTTCGCATCATGTCCGGTTGGTTTCGACCACTGAAATAGAAGTAAATGGGTGAAATAATCTGATGAAATGTTTCAAGACTTACTGTCACAGTTAATCCTTTAAGGTTGTTTTCTGAATGAACTGGAGTCCGTTCTCCCTTGCTTAAGCACTTGATATAACGCGGCTTTAAAAATTCCAATGGGTCTTCAAGCTTTAGCTCGGACAGAATCTTTCCTGGTGTAATTGGTAGTGAGTTTGATAATAATTCTGAAAGACTTGGTTTTGGAACAGTAGATGGTGATGCATCTGTAGTGGTTTGAAGTTGTTCATTCAACTGGCCATTATTCTCTTCGCTGGGCGCTATTTAACAAAAGAAGTCATCTTCGGAATTGCAGATGCGAAGACACACCTGAAACTCGTTTTTCGGCCGTTTCGTTTGTTTGTTTCCCGTCAAGAGTTGCATTTGGCGTCTGATTATTCTCACGCATGATTTCGACAATGCTTCGAAAAACACCCATGAGAGTTCGCCATGGTATTTCGATTTTGGTTTCGAAGTCCGTAGGAAACGAAACTGGCTGTTGCAGAACGTGCTCTAGTATAGATAAAGTTACAAGTTTGATAGAATTGATTATAATTAGAACATTCGCATTATACACTCGGTAGTGATCAGTCGCTTTATCGAGGGCTCTCTTTTCGTCTTGTCTCTGAACCAGCGTATATTCTACGAGGTTCTAATCTTTCCATCTTCGTTTCTTTCTTCTTTACGTCTAAGTCTCACGACTTAAAGATCTCTCTTACTTCCGGTTCTCGAGAGTTTCTCAAAATCTCATTAAAAGAAAGAAGTTTTATCAAAAACCCCCTNCATTCGCATTATACACTCGGTAGTGATCAGTCGCTTTATCGAGGGCTCTCTTTTCGTCTTGTCTCTGAACCAGCGTATATTCTACGAGGTTCTAATCTTTCCATCTTCGTTTCTTTCTTCTTTACGTCTAAGTCTCACGACTTAAAGATCTCTCTTACTTCCGGTTCTCGAGAGTTTCTCAAAATCTCATTAAAAGAAAGAAGTTTTATCAAAAACCCCCTTGGTTCTCGTCGATGGCTCCCAAAGGAGGGGGTGGTGGTGCTGGCGCGAAGAAGTTAAACAATACTTTCGACGGCCAACAGTCACAATCGTCCACAACAACAATAGCACCATCAACAAAGAAAACAACAACAACAACAATGACACCAAAAACAACGACCAACACACAAAGAGCTGGCCTAGTCGGCAGCACGCCAAAGCCAAAGAATAACAGCCAACAGCCTTTCAGCATTGCCCCTCTTGTTCTAGAGGGAGCCAAATTGACTAAAATGGCATTAAATGATTTTTTGAAGCAGCAATTTAGCGACATCAAAATTACCGACATCCAACTCGGACGTTCAGGAAATTTTACTTTGTATGCTTATGATGTTAAATCGTTTAATCGTCTCCTCAACGATTTAACGACAACATTAGCTGCAAATGGTCAAACCGACGTTAAAGTCTATGTTCCTCGATCTATTCAACGGATCAAGGATACAGAAAAAATGGCTTTCGTCAAACGGGTCGATCTTGAAATTCCTGATGATCGAATAAGGGCAGCATTAACGGCCGTCGGTCTTGATGTTACCAATGTTATTCGGCTCACCAGCAAAGACGGAAAGACCCCAACAAGAACGATCAAAATATCATTTAATGATGTTCAAAATCGAAACACCTTCGTGCATACTGGTTTACAGGTGGATTGCATGCACTTCACTGCCGAACCAGCATCACAAAACAACAAGCCGGTGCAATGCTATATCTGCTTGCAATACAATCATGTGGCCAAATACTGCAAAACGAAGCAACAAGTATGTGCCAAATGTGGTGAAAACCACAAATCGGACCAATGCTCTGTTGCCAACGATGCAGCCAAATGCCACAACTGTAAAGGTAATCATTTAGCTACTTCTGATGATTGTCCAGTCTTCAAGGATCAAGAAAAAAGAATGCTAAACTTGGTTAATCAATACGCAACAGCAATTAAACCAACAACAATGGTACCGGCCCTCCACGACATCAACCACTTCCCACCATTACCAAACGTATTCCAACAACGACAAGATAGTTTCCAAAACGACTTATTCGATCAAATGTTCAATGCATTCAGTAGCAAAATGGAAAAATTAATCGAAGAAACAACAAGCCGATTATTCCGTAAACTACAGACAAAGATCAAGTACATCGAAAAGTCAATAGGATTATATGGAAAAGGCCAAGATGATGCTTCGACAGACTCTGACTCTGACTCTCAGGAGGAAAGTCAAGTAGTTAAGCACATCAAAGCTAGCCAACAGAAAAAACAACTTCCAACAACCGATTCATCGATAACAACCTCGTCAAAGGTCAATACAGCTTCCAATATCCCTCCTCCTAAACAACTTCGAACACAAGAGCAAATTGAAGCTAACAATACGCACAAGAGACTGCGTACGTCGAGTAGTCCACCATACGCAAAGACGAAGAAAACCAACAACAAAGACCCGAGAACGAGTGACGTCGATGATTAGGATATGTCACATAAACATAAACACCATAGTCAAACACAAGGACGAACTCTTAGCTCGATTCTCCAAATACGACGTCATTTCAGTGAATGAAACTAATCTTAAGAGTGAACGTCAGTTCTCTCTCTGGGGTTACAACATTTTCAGGAATGATCGAGTAGGTAAATCTGGCGGCGGAGTTCTGCTCGCAATCAAACGTCACATTAAATGTCGAGAAGTTTATAACAAGACAGCACAAGAAAATGAAGTGATAGCAGTAGAGATAGAAACCAAAGGTTTCAATTCAATACTTATATCCTCCATCTACGTTCCACCAAAAGCCAAGATCAACAAAAGTATCTTCGATGACTTATACAGTATTAACAACAACTGCATCATCGTAGGTGATTTTAATGCAACATCGCAAGAAAAGGGATCTAGTAAGACTAATTCAAAAGGAAGACAGCTGCAAGAATTATATAAAGAAGGTTTAATTGACTGTGTCGATGATGATTACACAACATTTGAAAGACCTGACTATGAAGAAAAACTTGACTGGATATTAGCTAGTCAACCACTTCTATCATTTATAACAAATGTTGAAACACATCCATTATTCGGCATAGCTTCTACTGGACACAAACCATTAACCTTCGATATCCCTCTCAGAGTCGAAGTTAAACTCCCCTCTCCTAGGATATCATTCAACTTCAACGCAGCCAAGTGGCCATTATTTAGAAGTAAATTAGACCAACAACTGATGCAATGGAACATGGATCGACGATTAAATTCAACATTAGACTTAGAAGAATATACTACGTTTATCACCAAAAGCATTTTGGCAGCAACGCAAGAAGCTATTCCACGTATCAAGCAAAAGATTACATCGTATTCACCAAGTGAAGCTTCGAAAAACTTGATTCAACTTAAACATCAAGCATATCGAAGATGGAAGAAGACTGGAGATGATATAGATAAACATCAATTCTACACGTCGAAAGTCCTACTTACAAATTCACTTCGAAACGACAGAAGAAACAACTTTAACAAGTTAATGTCTTCATTATGCCAGAAGAAAATGTACTCGGATGCAGTTTGGCGAACGGTACGCAAATTCCACAATAAGCGGATCAAGCAAACATATGCGAACGTTATGAAGTACAACAGTACTACAGCAACGTCAGACAAGGAGAAGGCAGATCTTTTTGCGGATTTCTTCCAAAATGAGGTCTACTTCGAAGCGACTGACTCGCTGCCTTTTCATAACCAAGTTACTCGTCGAACCGGCTTCATTAGAAAAGGAATGGCAACAAATTCAAACACAACTAAGTGGAAGCTAATCACTGTTAACGAAGTTAAGTACCATCTGAAACAGCTTCGAAACAGCGCCACAGGCTCCGATAACATTCACAACAGGTGTTTGAAAAACTATTCAAAATTACTTGTTCAACATCTCACCAATTTGTACAATGCAGTTTTGAATCAAGGTTACATTCCTAATACGTGGAAACAAGCAAACATTATTCTACTATTAAAGCCGAAGAAAGACAAACAACAACCGTCTAGCTATCGGCCTATTAGTCTCCTGAGCTGCTTAGGCAAGTTACTGGAGAAAATAGTCAAACAACGTCTAATGTCTGAACTTGATCGACGCAACATCTTACCAGAGCATCAAGCTGGCTTCAGACCAGGAAAAAGCACAGTATACAATATCGTGAGATTACAACAATATGCTGAAAGACAGCTGACAGCTGAAAGCTCGAGGCGTCACTCGGCAGTCGTTCTCTTCGATATTAAAGCTGCTTTTGACTCAGTATGGCATGATGGACTAAT